GGAGAAACGGGTCATGGGGTAAAATTGAATGACATAAATGTCCCGATTAAAATTATTACATCTATTAACTTAAATGAATCCTAATCGATCAGAATTGAAATTTTAAATTCCACGGAGACTTTTATTGTAAGTAGAGACTAGTTTGGTTAGCGTCACGCTATGCGCGACTAGTTTAGTTTCCAAGTCTATATCTCTTTTTGTAAGTGAAATTGTGTTTTAAGAGAGTACCTAATTTTTATATTAAAAAAACAATCTCTCTAATTATCGATCCAACATTGTCAAATACAAACATGATATCTAATTATTGTAATTTGTTTCCCAGTTATATTTAAGATCAATATCTAATTTCACTGAGTATGTATCACAGTCAAATAACCACATCACATTCTATAGCAATGTTTTATTGCTTTGAACATGTCAGAAGGAAACTATTTCTACTTAGTAGTATTTAGACAAATGCAAAATAAAACAAACCTGGTGATAAATGCTCTTGTTTGGCCTTATTGTGGACTCTTTGTAAACAAGTAAACAACACCATGTTTGCCTTCACAAGGACTTTCGTTTCAGGTAATAGTCGAAAAACATTGAAGAACCATTATGATCAAGATTCACTCTTCTTAAACAGTACTCTTCATTGATAATGGTTTATTTGTTACATAAAAGCATCACAATTAACTCTGAATTTAGTAAGAAATTGGGAGTATTTTCTATTATTAGTGCATTCTACTTAACTAGTTTTCATATTTTTGTTAGGTTGGGGTTTGACTGCAAAATTGCTGAAAAAGTGAGGCCAAGGGAATAAATTGTGGGCTGCTGAGGAATGTTGCTGAGCTGGACGAAGAAGCACCTCCTTAGACAAGAAGCATCTTGCCATTAATGAGTATGTCTCCTCCATGAGACATTCTTGTCCCCCAGCCGAAATTTCAGCCTCCCCTGCTGATCAATGAGAGCAATGCTGCCACTTCTGGAAGAAGAGAAGAAGAACAGCCAAGTTTGGATTCCAGGCTCAAGGCATTGGGAGGATTAAACAAATTACAAGCATGGGATGGCTCTCATGATGAAAGAACCGGCTGCAAGACCCTATAAAAAGGGGAACTTCACTCTCAGAAGAAAAATCAATCTCTGGTTACCTTTTCAGTTGCCAAAAACACACAGAAAAACTCCAGGTAGAAGGCAAGAAGGAAGAGGAAGCAACAACAACTCAGTAAGGAAGCCAAGTTGGAGAATAGCCATCCCAGTTTCTGCTTCAGTTTCATGAGTGAACCCTTTCACTCCCAGGAGTGGCTCAGAAACTACACAATCTTTTTTCTCATCCCTTGACTGTTAGCTTGAACTTTGTTTATTATGCATACTTCTATGATGTCTTTTGATGTAGTAGATGTAGCGTTAATCTGTATGAGTAGCTAAGCAGTTTCCAGGGGTTATTCTCCTCAACCTATGTTATAGTTGTTTAATGCACTGGTTTTGTTCCTTGTTTTAAAGTTGAAAGTTTTTTCTACATTCATTTACTTGATCACTAAATTGAATGCATGCTAGAACTAAGGGAGATCTGGAAAGATAAACTTGGTTTGGATTGTTTCAACTTTAACTTATGACATAGAGGTAACAGTCTATGGTTTTAACTAAGATAGGAATATACTTAGTTAACATAAGCATTCTTGAAGGCCTAAGAACTTAATGACTTTGTATCTGGAATCAATCATTGGAAAATAGATTGTTAAGGTTGCAAAGATGACTCTAGGAAAAATGGGAACTGACTTAGAGTTATAAGTGAGCTGAATGAACAAGAACTCAACCATTACAGTGCTAATAAAACAACTACAACAGTAGGAAGAGGAGAAGAATACCCCTGGCTTTCATTCCCCTGAGTGACTGTTTCCATTCCCCTGAGTGACACCTTGTCTGACTGGTAGTCTTTCTTTACAACAAATTTGGTAATTAGCTATCCTCGTGGGATCGACCTAGCTTCCATTATCTACAAAAATCATAATCCAAGCTAGTAATATTTTTGGTGAACTTGGCACGCACCATTCATCACGGCTTCCTGTAAAGAAAATGTTTACTAATCATCAAATATAGTAGAATGGAAAGAAATTAGGCCACTCACAATTTCAAAGGAAGCCATGGAAAACCAAGATTCGTGATAAAGCAGCTCTTTATTGCCACCATGCAAAAGGCAACTTGTCACTGAACTTCAAAAAAACACGTGTTTAACTTGAATGACTTTCTTTCTTACCAGTTTATATTTCATTGATCATGCTACTAAAGTACATCAATTTTTTAATCCTAATTTTCAAATAATTCAACAAACAAGTCAAAGAGAGGCATATTTGTGAATCACATGAAAAAATACAAATTTGAATATTCTTTTCAACCACATAAATGGAAAAGCAGGACTTTGTTACTTTTGCAAATGCACAGCAACACCAAAATCCAGCCTTATGTGTTAAAACAATAAAAATTTGCTCCACACAGTACCTATTTTTATAAGAAAGATTTGAAGTTCACAGTTGTAGAAGAAAGCAATCACATGAATCGTTAGCTAAAATATCTCAAAGCCTAATCTTTATTTGTAAAGCATTTGCCTAAACTACAGAGCCTAATCTTTATCTGTAAAGCATTTGCCTAAATCACAATTACAAAATTGAAGTTCTTCCCCCAACTCAAATTTCCAAACCAACCAATTCCATATCATCCACCACAAGGAAAAGGTAAACTTTCACTAAGGATTTCACATTTTAATATATTTTTACAAAATTTGAATTTCATTTTCTAGACTAATCATTCAAAACAAAAATAGATGGTATGTTCTTTGACTAAAAATGGATATTGATATAGAAAGGTTGAACACAAGAAACAAGCTCACCTTGTGGAGAGCTTTTGCAGCTTCAGCCTCCAATTTCCTTCTCATTGAGAGCTGTGAGAGAGCTTCGGCTCTTGATTCTTTAGCCTTTTTTTTTGACGTTTTGTCTAAGCCATTCATATAAGCCATTCAAAATATGACTTTTGATAATTCATCCATCCATGTTTCTGCATTCATCAAACCGAATGCATATGAGAAGCAATTAATTTACTAATAGCAAACACTGTTCGTGCGGAAATAATCAGTAGAAACTGATGTACGCTTGCAAACAACTTCAGACGAAAGTGTGTAATTCACGAATGTGATGTTCGGCTAGGTGTACAGAAAAGGGTGTAAAAACTTGTAATAAACTTGAATAAGGAAAAATTGGCGGATCTACCCAAAACTTTACATGCTTCGTCAATTCTACCCTATTCTTTTTCGGTTAGCCAATATTACCCTAAACCATCCAACTGTTAGCCGATTTTGTCCAATTTGCTATTTTCCGTCTAAATTAACGGAATTCTATTTTTTAATTATAAAAACACCCTAATAGTTTTAAAAATTTGTAAAAATGACCCCAAAAATTTATATTTTCAGTTTTTATTTAAAATTTTCTGTGTTTTATTTCTTTTTACTATTTTTCATGACTATAAAAATATACTATATGATCTTTTAAAAAAATATTTATTTTTAAACTTTAATGTACAAATTTTTAATTACATATTTATATGTCATGTTTGATTTACATAAGCATATTAATTTTTTAATTATATGGTTTTACAATAATGATACTATTTTTTGATTCATTTTTTTTTTCAATCTAAAGAATAAGATTATTTAACTAATACTAATTTTGCACAAAAAAATTAAACAATTCGCATAGATTAAAAAAGAATCTATTGGTATACTTTAATGTATTACAATTTAATTCAACTGACTTTAGATTGTATTTTAAAATTTAAAAAGAAATCAAAACTAAAATATAAATTTTTTTAAAAAGGCCAAGTACAGACAGAAAGTAAAACAAAAAAACACCTATTTCGTTTCTACGTTGGCCCAACACAAGAATATAGTGTCGTGGCATTTACAAAAATGGTACAAAATATTTTATAAAAATATGTATATTTATTATTGCGAGGGTTTGACATTTTGTGATAATGTTTTGAGAATTAATATATCCAACTTTAGCAGGAAATCTTTTTTTTAAAAAAAAAATAATACTAAAAAATAATCTACTCCAGTACTGCACTCCACCTTTTTTTTACATAAAAAAAAATAAATTTCTCCAGTGAGAATCGAACCTCGAACATAGTTTTAATCATCTCATATCTTAAATCACCTAACCATCCAATGCAACCCTCTTACCTTTAGTAGACCTCGCTTAAACGTGGGTAAAATCACTCTCCCAGTTAGAAATACTTTGGTGACAATTAATCTTATATCTACTCTCATGAAACTTAACACCCTAAACACTAGACAGTACCCTATATTTTAATTTAATAATTTTTTTAATTAGATAATACAATTTATAGGTTGTTTAGTTAATTTATAATAAATTAAAATATACTAATATATATTTTTTTAATCTATGCTAAATGTTTTTATTTTTTGTACAAAATTAGTTTTAGTCAAAAAAAAATATTATTCTTTAAATTGAAAAAGACGGATTAAAAGAATAATATCATTATTGTCTAGCCATATTATATTTATGTAAATCAATCATGAGTTACAAAATGTATATCTATAAATTTGTACTGTAGTGTTTAAAAATAAATTATTTATTTAAAAGATCATATAGATATTTTTATGGTTATGAAAAATAGTAAAAAGAAATTAAAAAAAAAAGAAAAATTTAAATAAAAACTGAAAGGAGACTATTTTGTAATTTTTGTAAATTTTTGGGTTCTTTTTATAAATTTTTAAAACTATTAGGGTATTTTTATTATTAAAACAAATAAAATTCCGTTAATTTAGACGGAAAATAGCAAATTGGACAAAATCGACTAATGATTAGATAGTCTAGGGTAATATTGACTAATCGAAAAAGAATAAGGTATAATTAACGAAATATGTAAAGTTTTGGGTAAATCCGCCAATTTTTCTAACTTTTAAGCCCATTCACTTTGTGGGAATGATCCCCTGTACGTGGCCGCATGAACGAGAAGCATCTTACACCTTCCATTCGCTGACCAAAATCACAGACCACCTAAGAAAAAAAATGAACATTCCCGCTCCTATGAAATCAAACACTTAAAAATGGCGATTACGATCAGGAAGTTGATTTCTTCATCGAGAAACATTGCAACTACTTCCCTGAATCAACTGTTTGGATTGAGGTTTCTGAGATTGATCTCTACGTCTGAGGAATGCGGGAAGAAGTTCGCGGCGGTATGGGGAAATGGAGATTACGGCAGATTGGGATTGGGGAATTTGGAGTCTAAATGGAGCCCTAATATTTTGGATCCTTCCATTTTTGATAATCAGGGCGTTCGAGAGATTGCTTGCGGCGGAGCTCATACTCTTTTCTTAACAGGTTCTCTGTTCTTCTTTTTGTATTGCTCACTTATTCCTAACCCCTCCACACTTTGATTTTGTTTTTCCCTAGTTTTTATGTTCTTCTTTCTTCTCGATGAACGTGAAATTTACTCTCCATCTTTTCCTTTGGAATTAACTACATCGGTGAGCGTTTTCCGCTTCATTTTCGATCATAATGAAATTTTGAGGTATACGTATTTATGGAGATGCTTCTATTCGCTGTGATGCTTGAAGAAAGCTTATGGTGCCAAGAAGCAAGGGTGTCATTTTGATCTATGGTGCTTTGTAGTTGCATAAAATTAGGAAGTGCCTCTATAGCCGGATTAGCAATTCTGATTGCCTTTTACTTGCTGCACTTCTTGAATTACTTCATTTTTCGCCTCGTGGAAATATACCTGGATGTCACAGCAAGAGGTCATGATTGTGAAATTTGTCTTTTTAAGACTGTGCTTAGTAAAATTTATGCTTCAAGTGAGGGATTAGGCTTACAATGGTTACACCAATAGAGCTTATCATATCTAGATAACATCATGCTAGCAAAGTGGAAAAAATGTGTGTCTCCAGGCTCTCATGCCTTTATCCGTAGATATTTTGCTGCCACTTAAAGTATGTTTCTATGCATAGGAAATGTAGTCTCTTGAACTGTTCCATAGCAAGCTTAGATATTCCCAGGAGTGGTTTAACAACCATCAATTCAAAAGTAAACCACAGAGAAAATCACCAGAAAGGACTATTTTGTCTCCGATCCTATTGCAAGTTTGTGAGTTTTTGGTTAATGCCTGTTCAAGAGTTTGTTGCTGTCTTCCTGGGGCCTGATGTTCTGCTCATCTTCTTTTACAGAAAATGGTAACGTCTATGCAACTGGTCTCAACGATCTTGGGCAGCTTGGCATTTCAGATGATAGAAGTTATTCAACTGTAAGCAATCTCCTATTTATTATATTTTATTTGCATGCATTTGATTGGACAGGTTTCTTAGTTCTATAAGAATGTTCTTAGTGATAGAAGTTATGTGGGATAGCTAAGTGTCCTTCTCTATTAGGTTAAGACCATGAAAATAAGTGAGCTCTGTTTGCAGTTTGTCGCAGATTGTTCTTCACTGGATTCAACTCTTTCATAATTCTCTGTGCTCTATTTGGGTCACTATTTATTCGCCATTTACTTGGCACACTTTTAGGCTAGGATGTTCAAAGAAAATTTCCATGGGCGGGGAAGAAATTTTTCTTCTGAAAGAAGAGAAACATCGTGTGTTATTGAATTGAAAAATTGTCTCATGGGAAGATGACACTGAGTGGTTAATAATTATCAGTATCTTATTGTAATTAATGTGAATTTCTATGCTTAGTTGATGATAATGTGTTACATACTGTGGAATATCAGTGTTTTTACGTACTGTGGAATATCAGTCTGTGAAATTGGGAAAATATTAAGAAAGAGAGGAAAATTGTGTGATTGATGAAGATAAATCACACTTCTACTACATTTCTAACTGACATTAGTTAGAATTGCAACTCGACGGATCACCTTGAGGTCGGTTTTCATTGACATTAACCGACCAAGTGTAGCATGAATTGTATCTTTGATATGAATGATTGTGTGTTTGCATTTTGAAAAGTACTAAATTGTAGTACTAACAGAATTTTTGCCTTCAATATATTATAATCCAGCATCATTAATGTAAAGCTTGTATATTTTAAGCTATGTAGTATTAACAAAGTTCTCCGTTTTTCCATTTCTCTTCTTTTTTTTCCTTTTCATGACTGAAGGCATCTCTGGTATTGAAAGAAGAAGTAACTTCCTTCAAATTCTAGGTTTTCGTAGTTTGTATATCAATAGTTGGTTAACGATAATGTTCCAAAACCTTTGCATTACGCATGTTGCGAAGTTTTTCATTCAATGTCTGGCAGAAGCTAAACATTTGCAAACTGTCCGCAGTAACATCATTGTGATGTGATTATGGTGCAGTGTCTTTGACGTAGCTGCGTTAAATTATGCTTTGTTAATAATTCTTACTCAGTATTACAAGCTTTATTTTGTGAGCTTTTCTTTAGGGTGTAGCTCTCTTTAACATATATTTGCAGCAAGTAAGACTTCAATGAAATGTTTACGGTAAACAGGCACTTAATTTCATTTCTTGTTGTGATTGTCCTATCAAAGCCGTTGAAAACAATTATTTTTCCTAGTTTTGTTACAAAAGGGTTGTGTCTGACTCAAGTCATGTTAGTTATGAAATTTACACTTTATAGGGTTATCTGCTTTTTGTTTACTGGAAACTGCATGAACCTGTTATGTAAGTTTTGTAGTTTCTTAATCTTTTATCAACTTTTCTAATTCTTATTGTAGGAACCACTCTTAGTTGCTGGACTTCCTAAAGAAGTTGTAAGAATTTCAGCTGGATATCATCACTCTTTGGCAATTACAGGTTCTTATTTTGACTTCTTGAATTCCTGATTTGTACTTGTCTGTTTGATCGTTATTTCCTTGCATGAATATTTTGGATTGTTTTGATGTGTCAAATTTTTCTGTAATATTTTCATGTTTAACCTTACCTTATGTTAGCTGATCAGATGCATAATTGTGTTTCTGGCTTACTGCATTGTTTCCCTTAGTATCTTCTTAACATTATGGAGAAACTGAAGCTCCTAAACTAGATGATTTTGTATATTTTTATTATATATAACAAAAGATGAGTACATGTCCAAAATAATAGTAATCACAATTTTTTGGTTGGAATAAAATTTAGTAATGCATCAGTCTCTCTTGTACGGTTATCCTTTTTTTGGTCCTATCAGCGTGCTTGTAGCCGTCCTAATTGGTAATATCTCTAAGTAAATTTATAAAATGGTTATTATTATACTTTTGGGCAAAGGCCATTGAATCTTAGAAAAAATGTGTGAACAAAGTCATCCCACATTTCATTTGATAATGCGATTCCTTTCATTTGGCCCATGCAGAATAATTTAACAGACAAACTGGAGAGGGGCTGGGAGACCTCATGTAGTTATTTTAAATTGTTCTGTTGCATCCTTGTCGAGGAATAAGTTTATTGCCTGAAGTTTGAAATATTAGAAAATACTCTGACCATTGCATATATATTACTAAGTATTTACTTAGTACAACTTCTTTTATGCTTATTTGAGGAGGTACTATGATAATGCTGCTTTCTATCAATTTTTTGATATCTCAGAGTCCTATTTGGCACCTAGTTGAATTACCTGCCCCAGCGACAGGTGAAAATATGGAAAAAAAAAAACGGTAGATCATGGGTTTTACTCTGAAGATCCGTACTTTCTTGATATTGTTGAAACATCTAACCCGGATGCTTAGGATGTAACTCTCACTTCTGGAAAATGCATAATCTTCTAATGGTAGACTTGAGAAAGGTGGAGCCTTTTTAGTTTGCCTTACTGAAAACACATTTAACTCCAGGTTATGTCAGATGTTACGTTTCTCAACAACCACCTTGTGAGTTGAAGTTTTGATAGAAATTTGAAATTAGCAGTAGTCTTGCGATCCTCCATCAACATTCTTCATCCCCTATTAGGCTAAGCTGAAGAAAATGAAACTCTATATGGAGCACCTTTTGGATTATAATTGTTATTTAACACCTTTTAAACTGAAAGCTTGCAGCAGATATCCTTCTATTAACAAAAATTGATTATTTTCCAGATGAAACCTCTGCATATACAGGAAACCGTTGAGAGTAGGTGGATTAACCTATTTCAACTTAGCGCCCTATTTGTACTGCCATAATGTTTCTTAGTATGATTTCTGCTGAATTAACTTACATTTTGCAGTTTATCTTATTGGCTTCTTTAAAGCTGTCTCTTTGTGTGTTGCTATCAATGTTACATTATCTCATCTGGTTTATGCACTTTAGTCCCCGATTTCAATCTCATCATCTCTGTTTGCTGTAGTGGATGGCGAACTATATATGTGGGGAAAGAACTCAAATGGACAGCTTGGGCTTGGAAAAAGTAATTGTTCTGCTTCCTTCTGCATGCCTTTAATGTTAAATTGATCATGTCTGCGCATCTCGTGTTTTGAGGCGACACGCCACATGATATGTGCAAATTGGGATATAGCTTTTGTCTTCTAAGAGCACAATTTATTTTTAGGCGCTGCTTCCCTGTCCTACTTCTTCTGCAACACACTTGATGTCCTGGCTTCAGCTGATTTATGGAAAAGAAGTCTGATTACATGTAGACTTGGTCCTTTTATTTTCTTTTGGTCTTTGAAGAATGAGCCTTCCCAATTATTGAAGTGAATGCATTGAATTTATCAGGTTTTTTAGTTCTTTTCTTTTGAGGTTTATTGTGAATAGGTGTAGTTAACATGTGTCTCAATATGAATTCTTCTGTCCCCTGTAAGAAGTTCTGTGAGTACCTTCTGACATGTGGCCCACCGAAATTAGTCTTTTTTGCACAATGTGCATTTTATTTTACAAATGTATTTAATTGGTGCAGTTTGTGATCAATCTTAGGTTGTCTTTTGTAGTATGAAAATCTATGTTACTTTGGGCAGTCGTAAATGGCATAATTTTTAACCTCTAGAAACTTGAATCTTGCTTCTGAAATTCAATTTTCTCTGGAATTTGCAGAATCACCTAGAGTCGTTCCTATTCCAAGAAAAGTTGAATGCTTGGATGGTGTTGCCATTAAAACTGCTTCTTTGGGTTCCGAACATTCAATTGCTGTAACAGGTTCTTCTTTGACTTAATTAGCATGCTTTGAATTTGTGTAGACAGCAGCTTAATTGGTGTGTACCCACAGTTTTCTTTTTAGTTGTCATCAATTTTATGATAAAGTTGACAATCTTGTCATCTTTCAGATAAAGGTGAGGCCTTGAGTTGGGGTGGAGGAGCACATGGAGGACTTGGTCATGGACATAAATCAAGCTTCCTGGGATTTGTAAGAAGTGGCAGGTACATGCTTTGTGGAAATAATCATGACGTGACCAAGATGAAAGTTTAGTTATGTGTGTGAGAAATTGGAAGTGGTAATTAATTGCCGTCACTAGAGTCTCTGTTGGGTTTCTACTGTTAAGCTGAAGTAGATTTTAACAGCTGTTTACCACGTGTTATCCCCTCTAGTGATTTTCATGTTTTCTTAGCCACATATCCTTTAAACTAAGGACATGGATTGACTACAGCTAGTTCTAGTTATTGTTGAATTCTAGTAACATACTTCATGATGCATTATTAGGTTTGCTTTGTGTAACAAAATGACATTCCTGTGGAACGACATATTAACCAAAATAAAAAATTAAAAGATGACACAGTCCTCTAGAAGTTCGCAATTATGATTTTTTTTCAATCTTCCTTTCCAACCCTCTATGTTTATTGTCAATGTGTCTAACTGACACGTACAATTCATGTTGTTAATTTGAGTAAAAACCGTAATGGTCACCTATTGTTGGTTTCCTTATTCGTTTTATGCAGCGAGTTTACACCTCGACTTATAAAGGATCTGGAGGGAATAAAGGTAAGTTCATAATTGGTTACAACAGATATGGTTTAGTTACTTTCCAGAACGGCTGCCTTTTGAGATCCTTAGGGGTTCTACTTGCTCTTACTCAAAATAGGTTAAAAGTGTTGCAGCCGGAATGCTACATTCGGCCTGTATTGATGGTATATCTTTACCTTTTGGACATTCTCGTGGAAAAGTTCATTTGAATGTTGTAAATTAACTTTTGTAACACAGCTTTTTCACTCCAAGTATGTTGCAGAAAATGGATCTCTGTATGTATTTGGTGAAAGTGCGAAAAAGAGACTGGTATACTCACTATTGGTGATAACTTGTACTAGTTTGTTTCCTTGCTATTCGTTTGTAGATTGTTTACTCAAATCAAAAAGTGATTCTTGGCTACTTGTTTGTCTTACATGTCACCTTTGTCCATTAGGCCTATGAAGACGGAAAATGTGCAACTTTGCCTTCCCTTGTGCGCCAGTTGCCATATTCAGAAGAGGTTTCTTGTGGTGGCCATCACACTTGTGTTGTTACAAGTATCATTTGCTTGCTTAGTTCTTGAAGTTTATATATGTCTAGCGGCACTGTATTGAAATGTGAAAAAATTTTATTTTTACTTCTAATAAGTATGAAGAACAAAATTTAAATAATAAATTATGTTTGATTGGCAGCCTGTGAGAGTATAGTGCATGATGTGCAAAGTTTTGTTGGTTTGTGCCTTAGACAATGGTGTAAACCAATAACTTCCTTTTTGTTTTTAGTTAAGAAATAGCATTAATGAAGCAGGAATTGTATGTTATGTTATATCTATAGTTTTCCCTGAATTTCCTGCCGTTTTTAGCTCTTACTCTTAAAATGATTTCTGTAAATCCATGATCTAGGGTTCTTGAGATGCGGGCATTAACTATGAGTATCAAATACTTTTGGTTAAAGTTTGGATATATAGAAGATTTAGCTGCTTCGTCAGATGTGAATATAGGCCCTGTTTGCTACAACTTAATTATTAGGTTTTGAATGTTATAGGACATGTCTACCATCTTTCTTCTTCGTCCAGAACTGAATGTTTTTCAGTTTATATTATTGTTTTTTATTTGGTCTTTTGTCCCTTCACAAGCATTTCACCGTGGTTGGTGTGTAATCCCAGAGACCGACCAGTTGATCTATAGAATCTGTTCTTCCCTTCTTGACATCAAAGTGATTACAAGAACCTGGCAAAGTTCTAACATTTTAAGCTGTTCTATCAGTTCTGAGCTAGCAAATTGCTGTGAGAAAAGCTAGCTATATTTTACAACACTTAATCGCCCACTTAAATCATACTGCTTGGGTAGATATTCTCCGAAATCTGTAGTGTTATTAAATGTTGTACCTGTCTGTGCTGCTTTTCAATGAAGGGGACCTGTCAAATACCAAAAGTCTCATCTGTTAACCTCTGTGTTGTTCGAAACTTCCCAAGATGAATAAAGACACACCAACTCTGTATCAACTGCTTTATCATTTTAAGTAATCTTGGTTAGCTTTTTGATATCTGTTAAAATTTATGTTTGAATTAAAATTCTCTTTATAAGTGTTTTTAGTATTGTGTGAATGTCTTTTCAGTTTTGTCAGATTATTCTATCGAATTAGATTAGAACCTAGAAAAGTGGCCTGATGAAAGCTTACTTAAGACAAGCAGAATTTGATATTGTTAGTTGGATACGTGGAGAAGTACCATCAGTTTGAGCCCAAAAAAAAAAAAAAAAACCCATTAGTTTGAGCAATTTATTGACAACAATAGTGTACTAACCAGTTGCATTCTAATTTTGGTGTATTCTTTGGATATTTCTATTTAATACTGACGTGTTAGTACCTGATTGCATTGTGGGTTTGCTGAAGCTAGGTTTAAATTTTCTCTTCTTTTTTCTTTTTTTTTTTACCTTCCAAATTAGCTTTAACACTTGAGTGCACATGCATTTTTCAGGTGGTGGAGAGTTGTACTCATGGGGTTCAAATGACAATGGCTGCCTTGGTATCGGGTATTTCACGTGTAAATAACCTTTGTATCTGAACAGCCTGTTTGTGGCAGCAAATTTTTTTTTTCTAATCTTGTCTCAGTAGTGTGTCTTCTTGACTGCTGATTAATAATTAAGAATTATTTTCCCCATTGCTAGGTCAACTGATGTCACTCATTCTCCTGAAAGAGTTGAAGGCCCTTTTCTGAGAAATCCTGTTTGGAAGGTCAATTAGTAAATAGTTAGTAACTGATATCTGAACGTTTTGCTACATGGAGTTGGTTCCTAACATATCTTCTTATCCATTATTCTGGTTCTGTGGTTCTTTTTTTAGCAATAATTTGCTATAATGAACATTTGAATACAAATTAGATGAATTGGGCTCCTAAAAACATATTTAAATTTGGGCAAATAACTATGGGAGTCATATAGAATCTTAAGTTGAATAATTTGAGGTGCAACTGGACCTCAGTTTTCTGTACATAACTGTATCGATTGATATTCGTTTTCTTTTTAGGTGTCCTGCGGTTGGAAGCACACAGCAGCTATTTGCGGTAAGCATATTAACTGTGAAAGCACAATTAAACATCTATGGGGAATTTGTATGCAGGTCTTCCCTGTAGTATTGGTGGCGCTAGTGTATACATCTTCTTCCATAATTCAATTTCTCTGCCACCAAATCTAATTATTGATGAAAATTGCTACACTTCAGAAGTATGCTGAGACATGGGGATCAACTTGATAACATTATCTGGGGCAAAGTGAAATAAGCCTAGGTCTTTAATATTAGTGTTGGAACTCTTTTAGAAAAAGGGGCATGAAGTGCCTCTCTAGCTGTGCATTGCATTAGCTGTGTGATTGTAGAATGCAGGGCAAATACACACTTTCCATTCTTGAAGAAGCTTAGGTGTTCGTCTAAGAAAGTTTTAGTTAATATTGCCCTTAAAAGTTTCTTGATTCTGTAGTAAGGGATGGCATAAAAATTAGGTCACTACCAAATTACTTCAAATGAACATTAAGAAAACTATTTATCTAATGTATGTATTGTCCCATTCTTCCCTTGTGCTTTGCTGCTCCATATTATAGGATGAGAAATAAAGATTTGAATTTTGTGTGTCTGTGTGTTTCCTCAAGGATATCATGAATAATAAGGCCCTTGAAACTCGATGGCAAAATATTTCACAATTTTGTGGTTTTGGGTTTAGCAGGTTGGTATTTATTCTTTCACTTTTTCTTCTTTTTTTTTTTTGTGTAGTAAGGTGGGGGGTGGTGGTTTGGGTTGCGGCTGGAAGCTTGAGAGAAGTATGGGAGATGGGATGTTGTTTATGTGCATTTTCTAAAGGAAACTGGAACCAGCAAACCAGAATGGATATGAAGTGCAGAAGCCACTAGTATGAGATGCCATATGAAGAAAAGCTTTTCTAGTGGTTTTAACAAGAATCTTTGAAGTATGACTTATGCGAGTGTAGTCTGCCAATGCCCGTGTTAGGAACAGGGTTTAATTCTGTAAGGAATTGTAGCATGCATTCCCACTTTTAGCTTTATCCTGGTTATGGATAGATCACCCAGTTTTGGTGGATGAGCGCCTGTGAAGCATCACGCATTAGCATTAGTTTTCTATCCCAGAGCTTCAGAGATGTTATGAAGGTTCCACCAAACTTTCTTCAGACGTTTTATGTGCCATCATTCGGCTGAAAAACTTTCTTCAGAGATGTTTGAATATCCTACAGCTCTGTGCAATACGTGCAAAGTGGAATAATTGATGATGTTTGAAAAAATTTTGATAATGTCCTAGTATAGAGTGACCAAGGCTATAATATACAAGAGATCTCCAGCTGACCTTCCTTTGGAGATCTTTTATCGAAATAAAAACTTTGGGGACTAAATAGGGAATGGACCTCTGATGGTTCATTTTTGTGGAATGCTTTTTGCTTCCCGGAACTTGGGCCTTCAGGAACCATTAATAAGTAAAATGTCAAGACAAAGAACTCCAATTTACAAATCAGAAAGGTGTTTGAACCCATGTCTGGTCAATAAATTTGCTTTCCTTTTCAACATGACAGTGACTGTCTTTTGTTTCATTGTTTCCTTGTATGTTTCCACCTATTTTTGCAACTTTTATTTTGTTTTATTTGTTTTTTATTTGATGTTGTATGTAACATTTCTGGCAGCAGGTCTATGTGTCTAGTGCTGTTCTTTTGCACCTGCTATTCCTTTGTCTGTTTCTGTGTTTTCTTTTTCAATATATTTTTTTTTAGCAAATGTGTGTGATTATAGTCAGACATTTGTTTTTTTTTATCCACTAAAAGATTTGTAAACTAATTAATTCCATCTAATTTTTTACAGTTATCAAGTCAAATTATAAAAAATGGACATGTTCCATTGTGGAAATCTTGTGATTATTCCTCTTCCTGTATCTTTTTATTTTACTCAAATTGATTTGCCATCCAGGAGGCAGAGTTTACACCTGGGGCTGGGGTGGCTCCCATGGGACCTTTTCTGAAGATGGCCACTCTTCTGGTGGACAGCTGGTTTGTATTTCCTTGGACAATCTTCCTACGTTGGTTGAAATACATTCTCCTTCTGTTTAACTTTGAATTACAGCTAGTTCAAAATTGTAGTAGTTATAAGTTAATACGGAGGATTAAGGTTATGAATGCATGTCTCTTATGCCGATGATTATTTTCCACTATCGGCAATAGTAGTGCTAGAATAGTTTTTGATGCCCAAACTTATATCATAAGTAGAAAGCTCTAAAATGGAAATAAACTTATCTATATTACGAGGACTTGGTGGCATAGTTCAGTTGTCTCAGTTACGACTGGATGGGTTCTTTAATTGACAATGTTGGTTGAGTAAAGGATGGTTTAGATTGAGTTTGATTTTTCTGGAATTTTTCTTATTAGATGTTGAGATTTCAAGATTTTGATTTTGAGATTAGGTTCTGAGAAATGGTTCCCTGTATAAATTTGAAACAAACTATTGAAGAGGACATTATTTGCTTGAACTTAAATGCAAATTTTTGTTTTCGGACAACATGCTAGTGATGTACAATCCATCTAGTGGGATAATCTTTATGGATTAATCTTTGTTGTGGTATTTTTGCCCTTTGTAATATTGTGTCCTTAGTAGTCTTATTCTCTCTTTGAGCCTAGTTCAGATTGAAGTTATATGATAGAACTTGATTCTAGGTTCTCTTCAGTAAACTACGTGATGCTTGTCAGAACAGATGAATTTCTTGTTGCCTAATTAATATTTTCGACATTCTACATTACGCTATTGGTTGTCAGTATACTCCAACAGAATCTAAAGTCCATGTCTACTTGGTGTCATAATATCTTGCTTTTGTGAAGTTACATTTTCCCTCTGGATTGCATGTTTATCTCTGTGGTTATATTGTGCATCAGGGTCTGGGCAATGATGTTGATTACTTTGAGCCTACACTGGTAGATTTTCCCAGTAATGCCAATGTTTTGCAAGTTTCATGCGGATTCAATCATACAGCGGCTATTCTAGGATACACAGAACTAATCTCATGAACAGCGAAAGGGCAGTTCGGCTTTTGAGTAGTCCTGTGTGGAAAATTGGGAACACCCTCCTCTTGCTGAGATGTGAGAGATACATCATCCCAAATCCCAAGCATGTCATCCCATCATTATTTCTTGAGGTGGTGTGTTGTATAAGGTTCATGCCTTTTTTGAGTACAAGAGATGCGAGTAAGAGTAATTATTAGGATTGATGAGCATCCAACCTCGAGATTGAAGAATTACGTGCGCTCTGAGCTTTGTAATAAATTGGGGTCTAATACCGAGAGTTCATTATGTGTTGTTCTGTAGATAGGATTAAAAATCGAATACATGATCCCATTGGGCTTGTAAATCTGAAGAAAAATAGAGCAAAAAAAATTGCATTGGGACTTCTTGCTGATGTATTTGTGCTTCTGCTGTATCAAAGAAGACATGAAGGCAATTTGGTGAAAGAGGAAATAGAGGTTTACTTGATGGTGTTTAATCGTGACATAAGTTTTAATCTTTTAAGTCCTCCGGGATTATCTTGATTGATATTGTTTTAGCATAAATTTCGTATTTGCGGACACGAGGATTTAACAGTTAATCCCAAAATCTTATTGTTGCAGTATTTCTCCAATCTTTTATTCTTTGAACCGAGAACTCGGATGTTGTTTTAGCATTTTGATTAGTAAACGGAAAAGATTTATGGTGATTCATTTTAAGCCAATAATCTCAAGATCCACAACAGCTTCAAGTCTTTCCATTCCAGATGAGCCTCAAGAAATACAACAGTAAGTCACCGGCCTTTGCAGCATTCCCTTCTCCCCAATGATACTTGGATCCCAAAACATAACCAATCCCTGCCTAGAATCTTGCAGCCGAAACCTAATGTCTCATCTTCCACTTCTTTTTGCCTCTGAACCACATCAAACATCCATTGGTTCTGTAATTCGGTTTTTTTTTTTTTTAACAAAAACGTCCAGTGAGAACTGCATCAACGTACCAAATACATAGAGATAAAGATCATCTTATTACCACTAGTTTGGTCAGCAGCCGATCAATAAATAGACAAAATAATTTTGTGTGAAACTATTTTGTTTAATTATCATAAATTGATTTATTCTTTGTTTCGATTTCATATTTTACTAAGTACGTGGGAGTAAAAATAATCATATCATGCATAACGAAAGATGAGAGATCCTTTTCCCCCACAAAGAGAGAGAGAGAGAGAACTACGATTTCAGCGTGAAACTTAAAAAAAAAATAAAAAAAAAATAATAATAATAAAAGAATCTGGCTTAATGAGAGTATTCCCCGTTCAACATTTCTCTTTTTCGCAATGAATGGATTAAAAAAAACCTAAAAATATTAATATGACTTACGCGTGGTAACATAGACAGCAACTAACCTCCAAAAAAAGCTAAAAAAAATTTTTAAAAAATCACATCAACTTCACATTCAGTACTCTTTTACTGAACACTCAAATCTGAAAAGAACAACATTGGCATTTTCCCGCCAAACGGGAAAAGTTTGGCGGGAAAATGGGTAGTTTCCTCCCAAAGTTTAGACCATGCCATCCAAACTCAAAATAATAACTAATGGTTTCCCTTATTTTAATTTCTTTTGCTATTTGATTAATATTCATCTCAAACACTGAAATACATCATCAAAGCGATTATTGCAAAAAAAATTTAGGCCGCGGAATCTGCTACTAGACATTATCAATACTCCGAAAAGGAAAACCATACATACTATTTTCCGTTATACACAAGAAGCTCTAGCAATTCAAAATTTTGGTCGGGAAAACAAATTGTAGGCCGTAGTCAGTTCTTTGTACAACAAAAGAATCTTTCATTCATAGAATAAAGCTTCCAGAAGTTCATCGACATAAGCTAGACATGGCCAGTGATCAGTTCTGACCCGTGCAAGCGTTGAAACGTCAGAAACCTCCAACTTAAAAAGGAGGTGGAATCTTGGCGGGAGGAATATCAATATCAAGAATGTACCCATGTCCTTTTTAACTGGTTGAATGTCTGCCCCCTTTTCAGTTTCGTCTTCATCTCCCACGTATTGAATACAAAGAGGACCTTGATCAATCCTGGCATCTGAATGTGAAACTTCAGTTATTACGTCTGATTCAAATTCCTTCCAGACTACATCTCTGATTATTTCCCCACTTTTCACGATACGAATGAGTGACTCACCGGTTACACTTACAACAAAAGGTGCCAAGCATCGCTCAATGGCTTGAATCAGAGCCATAAAAGGAACCTCGAGCAGCTTCACTGACTGTGTTCCGCTGATTGCAGCAACCCCTTTGCCACCTTTTAAAACAAAAGTCTCGCGCCCAGTGCTGGATGATGTACCACATGCTTCCCACAAAGCATTGAACAGGTCAAGGTTATAGTTAGGCACAGCATCTTCTGGGATGTCTTCAGGGACAATAGCTTTCAGAAACATATCTTCAATTCCCACATTGACACCATGAAGCTGCCCTTCCAAAATCTGACCATTTTCTGCATTTGCTTGAATGTGTACGTCAACAAGACCTGGTTGGGGTACTCGAGGTTCCAACTCAATCATTACATGAGCCTGGAACCTCTCTTCTTCTTCCACTTCCACAGAACCATTTCCAACAGGAACAATCTCCAGTGTATTAGTTTTGCTGAATGAATAGTCCTTTCTGCTGGGTTGACCAAGAAGGAAAGGCACATGATATGAAGGAATTTTCCCATAAGGAGCAGAAGACGAAAACCTGAGCACTGTTGCGTACAATGCTGGAATTGCATCTACCTCGTCCAAGTCACTTGATATGTTATTATGCCCAGAATTATTGAATACTTCTGAATCAAATCTTAAACTACAGGGTATTATGATCTTGATTCCTGTCGAGTACCTAAAATCTGGAATGAAGGAGAAATGCCTCCTTAAGATTTCCACAATTTTGGAATCCTTTGTGTCCATTACACGTAGTGGCTCCTGCAGATGGCCAATTGTTCTTATATCAGAAAATGTGCCATTAGTGGTACTGTCAAGTCCATTTTGCTCACTTGTGATTTTCTGGTCCCCATTGCTTTCTAGCAAAGACTCCTCACTGACAAAGCTAAGATTTGGTAATGCCAAAGACCAGGACTGTCTCACTAAAAGCGGCACACTCCGCTCAAGATATATGTAGGTTGAGATGCTTCGAGATTTCTTAAGGTCGTGATGGATGGGTGACTGATGATGGATGGGTGACTGAAGATTTAAGAACGAACTAGAGTGTGTAGATGGTGAAATGCCAGGAAGCTGCTCCCCAATGTTGAGCAAGTCCCTGAGCTTCCTTCCTGGTATACAAACCAGCATCCGCAAATAGGTCCTGCAAACACCAAACCCATCAGAGCACAACTACATAAAAATATTCGTCAAAATTTATTCCAATCCCCTCTCCGACATATATGGAGATCGCGGCTTTCAGGAGATGTTTGATGCGCATAAATTACATATTTCAATTGATAAAATAAAGGGGAAAAAGCTCTGCTCTTTACCTAGCATGGTCCCGAACCTCCAAATCAGGAAAAGAAAGGCATGTGAATGCAAGAACATGAGATAGGCCAAGGAACAAGCTGGAGCTGTGGTGGTGGATCAGCATTGTCCGACAAATTCCGAGAACTTTACTGCCCAGAGACCAAGACTTTAAACTTGTTTCTGGACCGTGATTCTCAACGAGAAAATTCATGAACTTGGCAAGGAGCTCTATCAAGCCACTAGGAGATACTTTAGGATTCTCAGCAATTCTTTCTAGAACAGGGAAGTGACATCCCAACTTATAGTCTATTTTCAGTTTGGGGAGGAAAGACTCATTCAATGTCTCTAGCAGCCACTTCCCCAACCAGTGGTGTTTGTAACATCCCAACAAACGATCAACAAAGCAAACAATCACAGGTACTAGTCCAGCATGGTTTAAGGTTGATTCCACAAGCATGCTCTGTGTAAAATAAGATAGGAATAAATTCAAAATTAATCAGACATAATTTCACAAGCTTTCTTCATCATGAAAACTTCAAAATTGCATGGCTGTAGGCCATGATGAAACTAATGCTAAATAGAGCCAAGTATCAGCATATGATACACCTAGAGTTGTTGATATATCTCAGGAAAAAAAAAACTAAAAATGGATAATAGCTCTTAGATACTTCTACAGGCGTGCGAAAAGCAAAGTCAATCACAGTAATTGCACAGATGCACAATGCTAATTTATCTTTTATTATATATATATATACTAGTGATGTCTGGTCGCGCATTTGGAGTGATATATTTTAGATCTTAGAAATGTTTATATTTGAAAAAAAATAAAATTTTGTATTTGGAGCGATATATTTTAGAAATGTTTGAAGGATTTAGAAATGTTTTATAAGTGTGATCATAGAATTATTTGTATTTCGCAAAAAAAAAAAAAATGGTATTTCGCCATGTATGTTTTAGAAATGTTTTATAAGTGTTACTTATTAAATATAAATAGCCTTAATCGAATATATGTGTTGAAGTAAATGTTAGATAAAATATAAAAGCATCCTAATAAATTTAAATATTAGTAAGATGATTTATTGATGTTCTCCATTGGTCGTGCCAAATCAATACTTAGTTTTGGAGATTTTTAATAGTTTTGTAATAAACTTCATCCGAAGGGTATACGTTTAAAACAAAATTGACATTTTGTAACAAAAAACCTAATTGATCAATTCAATTTAAAAAACCACTCTAGTTGAATGAAACATAAAGAAAAAATTTAAAAAAAAAAACGTGTCACGTAAAGTGCAAGGGGAGATTTAGTAATTTAGTTATGGTTAAACAAAAGGGCAATTTAGTATTTTCTACATGCCACATGGCAATCATATGAGGTGTTTGAAAGGGAGGTTTTTGTTTCTAATATAGTAGGATATATATATATGTATATATATATATATAAGTTTATTAGAGTTTTCCTAGGTTGTACAAGTCTGTTTTATGCTCCTTGAGGATCCCATATGCATTTTATTAGAGATACTATTTAGGTCATTTAGAGTACGAACCACTACTGCAGGAAGTATGGTTCTACATCAGTTGTATCCACGTTGGCTTGCTAAACAACCAAAGGCTACCGATTAACATTGGGTCTCCTCACCCATTTTCAAATGGTTTGAGTTGGACGAGTAGGTCTCACAATAAGTTATTTAATTCTAACTTCAAAAGAATTACTATGAATATAAAGGAAAAACGTAAAACAGACTAATAAAATTTGATGAGCATAGAAAAAATATCTCAAAAGATGAAAACCTATTGAATTTAATACAAACAAGATAAGAGAAGATGAGATGTGCTTTACTTATTTCCCCTGGCAAGATCAAAATATCGAATTTGTAGAAGGAATTGAAATTTATGAATGTCACTTTAATTATATCTCAGGGCAGGAATTTGTTGTGTATCCTTTCTCTTTTCTTATAGACAATGGCAGGAATTCAATAAAGAGGAATGAGATACTATCTTAAATACAACGAAACTGCAATTCACAAGAAGGAAAGAGCTAAATTTCCAAGTCTAGATCCCTGTATATAAATGGGCCTAAATCACAAAAAGCTGCCAAAAGATTCTACCAATATAATTGCTTCTCACCCTAAAGAACTGAGGCCACAAATTTTAAAGTTTTACAACTACATGCAATCACCATTCTCATCTTCTTCAAACCTCCAACAGTGAGCATTCACAAAAGCCAAGTTTAAATCTACAAACAAAAAGAAATAAAACCTCAACGGCTGAAAGTATTCCGGGGAGTGATGCCTGGAGATATACTACTCTTCTCCATTCTCAACAAATGAAGACAACTATTTGTCACCCCAAACCGTAGCCAAAAGGTTGTTTGAAGGACATATACTTTAGACTGTCCATTGCTCTTTACCCACCATCGCACTAGAAACTGTATAATTTGATCCAATGAAGGCCACAAACTAGCAAGATTTAGGTTTACTCTATACAATTCAACTATTCTGATGCCCGATATACAACCAGTAAAACAGCTTGTAGATTGAATCACCGGCTCGCATCTATAAGCACAGTCCTTTTTTGGATAAAATATTCAAAACATTAAAATACTCGTGCAAGCTGAAGTCATCTCAAAAAAGTTGTATAACAGTTCAGGCTTTTTAAGCCCACTGGATACTCCAGATTTACATTTTGAAGCAAGCACTTTCTAATCTCATTAACTGATAGAGGAATCAATGCTTTAGGAAGAAAGATTACCAATCATTATTCAAAATTAACTTTAACTTCAATAACTGCTAGAAAGACTCATACAAATTAAATCAATTGGTCTCATAGTCACAGCGAGATATGCATGCGGCAAACTAACATAGTAAAGGTAGATGCAAAACCCCATGACTTCTAATAGTAAAAGGCAAAAATAACAAAGAACCACCTTGCAAGTAATGAAGCGGCAACGTTAATATGCATTACTCAAACATATGAACTTAAAGGGTAGATACCTGTAAAGTATGAAACACTGGTGACTGGATGACTAGCATATGTGAAGAAGATTCAGAGTGATTACTGTCCGAATGTGATGATGCACCAACCAAAAACTTGTGAAAGGTACGGCAGGCCACTAGAGTTTCAGTGCTCCACGGAGGCAACCATTTAAAAGTAGATACACAAATAAGGCAATCTTTGAGTAGCTTTGCTGCAGGCGCCTCCACAGTCAGTGAACCATTTCCATGCTTACTCGGAGGTCCAATGTCATCAAGCAAAACAGAACAATAGGCAGCTAAATCAAGTTTCAGAGACTTCAAGGCCAGTGAATCGAAAATAGCTGGGTAAAAACTCAAACTCCTATCCACAACATTTCTCTTCTTGCTCGCATCCCTATCTACAATGGATCTAAATAAATCTAATAACCAGTGAACTATAAGCAATCTGAAAACGTTGTTTTGGGAGCATTCTTTGCTTTGCAACACCAACCTATCAGCAATTTCAAGACCCTCTTTGCCATCAAATGAATCCAAAAATTGCATGTACATCCCTAGAAAAGCATGGCACAGTAAGGGATCATATGTATAGATCAACCCCGAAAATTGGACCTTCAACAAAGATGCTTGCAGCTCAAGTGCCTTTGCCATTGGTACTGTCATCCTCATGAACTCCAAAACCCCTGCGGGTGTCAAAAACTGGGGCCACTCTAACAAAAATGAAATCACTCTCCTCAGCTCCTTGTAACTGCCCAAATCCTGCGAACTAGTTCCGCCATTTTTCTCTTCGTCAAAACCGTAGCCATCAACTAAAAATCTCGGAACATTGAATGGTACCAACGGAGTCGAAGCATTGAGGATGGTACCATTCGGAGGTCTCCGGCAGACAATGCTGCACGACACCGCAGCCAACAGCAAAACGTAGCTCTGCGCGGCGTGTGTCCTCTCGCTCTGACAAAGCCCCCAAATGTGAGCCCCGATCTCTGAGAGCAAACACGGAATGGCCAATTCCAGCTCCCGCAAACACTCGCAAGCGATCGCCCTGGTCTGCCGGTCGATTCCATGGTTGGGACGGTTGATGATCGTCAGCAACAGCTCCACTAAACCCTCTAGGGTTTCCAAGTACGGTGAGACCGAGGCGGAGACGGCGATGAACACGGAAGTGGCGGAGATGAGGAACTGCTCTTTGAGCGAGAAGGAGACAGCGGCGACGGCGTCGCTCGGGTACGGCGATTGGATGACGTGGCGGAGGGTTTCGAGGAGGCGTGGGAGGGAAGACGGTGGGGAGGTGAAGAGAGAGAGGGAATGCTCTTCAAGGAAGATGAGGAGATGGAATTTGAGCTGGTGAGAGAAATCTTTGCGGAGAATTGAGGCTAGAGCTAGGTCGACGAGGGCGGGGCCGCCGTAGTCAACGGAGGTCCACCGTTGAAGGCGGGAGGGGACGCCGTTGTTGTAATCGTCGATTAAGGTCTCCCATTCTTGTTGGGATAACGGTCTTATCGACGCCGTCGTTGTCATCGGCGGCGGCCGGCGTGCTGGTTTTCCGCGGCGGTGCGCATAATAAACGTTCCTAAAAATCTTCTTTTATTTATAGGTTACGGCTTTACGGTGAATTTTCCTTCCCAAATGTTAAATGGGATTTACTGTCGATAAACGGCGTCGTTTAACTCCGGGCAAACCACACAGTATAAATAATACTGCCATTTTCAAAAGGTTTCACTTCATTTCAAATTTTTCTTTCTTTTTTAGCACAATTATAATCTGCAAAATATTTGTAAACTTTACTTTAATTTTTATTTGGATCATTGGAAGTTTACTCTTAAACTAGGGAACATCACTAAAAATCTTCAAGAATAACTTTTTTTGCCATTATTATTGACATGTTTATCTTGAGAGATTTTTGGTTTACCGGTTTGCGTTATGAACCACCTATGGCATTAACTTTTTGGTACTCCCTCCGATCCTTCTTATAAGGTATTTTGACTTTTCTTAAATTTCACCTAGTACACATTTTAAATTAATAAAAAAAAACCTTAAATATATATTTTAATATTTGTTGTGTTCTCTTGATTGTTATGAAATATTTTTAAGATTTTTTCATTGATTAAAAATATGTACTAAGTTAAACCTAGGACAAATCAAAATGCCTAATATTAAGGACCGAAAAGAGTATTAATTTGGGATCATGCATGGCATCTGTCCAGGTATGATGATGATCTGTTCTTGTCCTTGTAGGTAAATCCTTGACAAGGGAAATAAAGATTCAGATATGGAAATATGAGCAAAATATTTTATTGGAGATTCAAATGTCTGCATCAGAAATAGATTGTATTTGTTTCATGGTCATTAGGTCTGGATTTTGTAAAGAACGTCTGGATTTTCTACTAAAACAATCGTGTTTTTTCATTCTGTATGTGTTAATTAGATTTCCTCCTGCATCAACATACTTCTTGTCTTCGCTATAGCATCATTCTTTTTCGCTTGAAATCCTTATGAGGTGTGCTATGTTATGCTCATTATTTGATCAATGGGAGTGTTGTATGCTAGTTCTTACATAATTGAACCAATCATTATTCAGCTGTTTTGAGAGGAGAAAGATGTGAAGGGTTGTAATTTAATAAGTACTTCTAAAACATGCCTTCTATGTTCCTCTTTGCTTTAAAATATTCGTTGGTAGCATTTTTAGCAAGCGGATTGTGCTGGACCGCTGGTTCAAACATATGGCTGCTATCAATGACAGACTGATGTTGCCATTTCGGTAAGATATGAATATCATCTAGAAACAAATCCTTCATAATTTAGAATAGCAGAAATAGTTTGTTCTTTCTGGTTGTTGTTCTTATCTCCAAATTCTATGGCCTTAGAATTGATGTAGGAGTTTAAAATATCCTAGTTCTGAAGATGAGCTAATGGGGTGATGGAATCTTAATGTCTATGAGTAGTAAAATGATGATACGGTTTTGATTTAAATGCATTGTAAGTTATAGGAAGAAGAACACATGTAGGAGTCGTCACTTTTCTCCAACCGGTATAAATATGTAATTATAAACTCAGATGTAATGTTATCCTATAGCAAGAAAATTCGTGAATACATTTGTGCATCGTGTAGGAGGTAGCATGCATCTCATTTCGCCCTTGACTTCCCAGTATAAAATTGTAGATCCTTTTGCCTTTTCTCTTGTAGGATGATGCATAATAACCATACTTCATTCACAAAGCAAGACCCCTTGATGTTTTTGCCTGATATCACTTTTTTGGTTTTGCACTGCAGGTTTCAGGATTTAGGTGAGATGATGACTCTTGGAAGAAATGATGTTGCTGTTTCAGCAAGCTTTACTGAAGGGCTAACACTTTTGTCATCATACTAGTAAAATAAATGCTACCTTTCGTAGTTTATTTTAGGTTGGAGTTTTCCATTTTTTTCTTAACCTTGATTTCAGATGTTTGTTATTTGTTTCTCTGATTTACTTTCAACTGTCAATTTGCTACAGCAAGAAAGATTGCTTTGTTACTGAGCCTGCCAACTGACGAGCTCTGAATAAAAGTGAGTATCAGTTGTTGGTTGACAAAATCCGCGGTAGATTCAGTTGCACTTTTGCAAGGCACCACTGTCAATTTGCTACAGCAAAAAAGATTGCTTTGTTACTGAGCCTGCCAACTGACGAGCTCTGAATAAAAGTGAGTATCAGTTGTTGGTTGACAAAATCCGCGGTAGATTCAGTTGCACTTTTGCAAGGCACCATTTTGTTAAAGGGCGCAAACCTCGCCAAAATCTCTACTTTGTTACTCTTTTATCCTTAAAAATGTATTTTCATATTTATTATGTTCTCTAAACTATTCTCCTAGTTATTACTATAAAATGTTTTTAAAATTTTATTTTTAATTGGAAGTAAATTTTCACCTTTTAAGTGGAAGGAGTATTAGATAGCTCCTGATCGCAAAATACTTTTTTTTTTGGTGTAAATAATAAAAGACGATGACATTTTTTGTGATATCTTTTGGACAATTGACCACTCTGCAGCATTTGCAATTGCGAAGAAAATGCACATGTTGGACTCTAGTCAACCAGATTCCAAGTTCATTGTCATCAAGGATATTGCTCATAATAGAAAAGGAAAACAATAAAATGTTTTCTCTTGAAGGGGGAGACAATAGAATTTTACTGTATAATAAATGAAAGATCACATTATTTTTTGGCTAAATGGTAAATATTTTTGCATATTTGATAAAAATTAATGTTTAATTAAAGTAAAAATGATGAATTGATTAAATGGCTTTCACTCTCACGCTTAACATTTAAACTAATGTGTAAATCTAAATGCTTATTTTAATATATTTTTATTTGACAACAAATAATTCCGTTGTATCCAAAATGATGATCTAGTTTCGAATTTTATTTTTAGTGTTGTATTTCTCTCAAAATAATGTTTTAGTTTTAGATTTCAATCTTAGTAAAAAAAAAAAGTTTGTATTAAAAGTGAAACCCGAAACAAAAACCATCATTTCGAGATTGCACTAACAGCAAAATATGAAACTGACCTCATTCGAGACGGGTGCTTGAACTTTTTTGTCTTTTATGTCACGGTTCAATTTTGCTCCCCATTATTTTTTAATGAAAAAATTAAATCTAAAACCTTTTGTCGTACAAAATTTGTCTCATTCACTAGAAAGCCATATCTAAAGTAAAATTTGATATATTATTTTTAGAAAGAAAAAATTAATAAATTTTCTTAATATCATATAATTTATCAATTTTACCTCAATTATTTTGATTTTCTTAATTGAGCCTAATCTTAACTTCGACCACCCACTTTTTTTTTTTTTTTTTAATTTGAACTTATGAATTTTTATTCATCTCGCTCAAATCTTACTATCAAAAAATTCATTATATTTTTTTGCTCCAATTTGCTCTCACTTTTACCGCAAACAAACTTAAAATTTTTTTAAAGATTTATTTATTTTTCTCCACTTTTTTTTAGTTGCCATTCACCCAATACTGAATTAGTTATCAATTTCACCATTTATCCAAGGAAATCCTAAAATTAATAAAATAATGATGCAACTAACAAATAAGTCCAAAAACTAAATAATTCTTAAAAATGATAGTTTATTAACAAAAATTCCCATAATAACTTTTTTCAAAATAAAATATTTAAAAATCATTTATTTTCTTTTTTCACGCTAATCCTTTACTTTTTCTCCACTATCCACTTTTTCAAATATGAAAGTTTTGGATTTTTTGAACTTTTCTCATTTTTTTTTTAACTATTGACCTCAGAAAATGTTCAAAATAGAGTATTATTTTCTTTTATCTTAATCGTCTACGTTTATTAGATCAGTAAAAAAATTAAAACATTGAAACCGAAAAAAAACTTCCTTAGCAACCACATCTACATCGACACCTGACAACTGCAACTATCAATAGCTTCATATTCTCCCCAAATCAAATATATTACAACCAGTTTCTATCCCATAAAAACGACTTCCCTGATCATTTGATGATTTCGTGGTGAACATGTAAAACGGGTATATTCTACCGTTTTAATTTTTTAATATACGTAAAAATATATGGATATGATAAAAATTAAATAGAGTTTTGATATTTTTTAAGGTGAAATGTTGAAATAATATCGACAAATTAAAAGAATTTTGAAAAAAAAAACTTTCAGGATTAATTTTTTTTACTTGTAAAACAATAAGTATGAAATTAAGTCGGATAACATTCTAGATACAAAATAATTCAAGCGCCCAAATGTAAAATAAGGGGGCAAATTTTTTTACTTTTTTTTTTTAATTTGTATTCCTTCTATTTTAAAATGCAGTTAATTCGGACCTTGAAACTAAATTAAACGATTCAAATAAATTTAGCAAATTAAGGATTCAAATAATTTAGCATTAATTTGTGTGTTAAATACCCCATGCAGTTTAAATTATAAAGTTACAATAAACACTAACCAAAAAACAAAAAAAAAGTTCCATTGGAATTATAATCTGTTTCAGTTCCAAAAGATCTAATAACAAAACAAATTAACAGTTAGTTACAATTCAAATATATGTTCCAATTTCTAATCTGTGTTTGCTTGCTCGATTTTAGAATGATGGAATGAAATAATTTCAGTTTTTTTATGTTTGGTTGACGGGTTATAAATTGGTAGGAATGGATTGATAACTAATTATTTAAGAATTTTCTAAACCCATAAGAGAATCAGGGTTTTAATCTTATTCCTGTTTTTACAATTTTTGTCTCTTTCAATCTTTTGTTTTCTCATAGTATTATATTAGGTATAAATTGATTATTATATCATAAAAATAATTTGTTTGAAAATAATTATAAACTCAAGTTTTTATTTGAAATTTTGAGTCAAATTTAAATCACAGACATGATTACATAAAAAATTAAATTGATTAGCATATAATTTGAATTGAGATTGAAATCTAGAATTTGTTTAATATATCTTTCCAAGTATTCTCTCTTTTCTTCTTCCTTTCTCTACAAATTCTCTCTCTCCCTTGTAAAGAAATCATTCAGTAAATATATCTTTCAAGTTTGAAGAATAGAAGACGTTTTTAAAGGTAATTTTTTTCTTTTAAGTTTGTTTTAATTTATAGTTTGGAGTACTCAGACAATGTCTGAGTAAATCCTTTGTCTAAATCAAACATTTGGCTTTTGTTTACATAAATTATACATGAAAGCTCTATCTCCTTCTTCTCTTTCAATTAAAATACGATGATTTGAGATTGGTTCCGATTCCGAGTTCAGTCGGAAAACTCAACAACAAGTGCATTGGGCTGGAAAAGTACCCGTTATGATGAATGTTTAAGGGGAAAAAGAAGCCACATGATGCACAATAAGTTGTGGATTCCAGACAGGCTTGAGAGTTGGGTGAAACTTTTCCATGCATCTCAATTATTGATATTTTAATTAAGGATGGATAGAGATTTTGATCCTGTAGCTGGCTGACATGGCATAGCTCCCGGATGAATGGTATCAGCCAGGGTGGTGGTTTGGATTCGGCTGGTTTCCTTGCTAGTCTGTTTCTGGCCTTACTTGGCTTAAGATAAGACTCAAGCCCCACCAGCCCCACGCCAATTTGGTATTTATTAACTTTTTAAGATTAGTAGGTAAATTCTTATACCATTAATTCAATAAATTAAATGTAAAAAAATATAATGATACCTAAACCTAATTTCAAACCAAACAAAGATTCTCGAATGGATCTTCATGTTATAGTTCCCATTAACAAACCAAACGACTTTCTTAGATTTGTTGTAGTCAGGTGGAATATCTTTTATACCCCTCCCTCATTTAAAAAAGACAAATTGGAAGGAAGTTGACATTATATTTTATTCAATGCTGTCAAACTAATTTAGACCAAAAAGTTTCAAACAATACAAATCAAACGGATGGATGGATGAGGGTTTATAGAAACGGCGGCACCTTTGGAAAGAGGATATTTGGTCTGAGCAGTGAGTTTGCGTTAGGTTTCCGCCGTCTTAGTGGTTATTCTCCTCCTTCCGCCTCCGCTGTTCCTCCTATCTATTCCTTCATATCTATATCTACACCTATTCCTACTAGAAGCAATTGTACTACTCGCAGGGTTTCTTCATCTTCTTCGTCATCGTTGACTGCTACTGCAATGGAAACGGAGAAATGGTCAGCCAGCAACGTAAGGGATGCTTTTGTCAAGTTCTTCGAAGGAAAAGATCACGTAAACTGGAAATCCAGCCCCGTTGTTCCTCTCAATGATCCTACTCTTCTTTTCGCCAATGCCGGTACGTCTCTTTATCTTTGTTTTTCTCCTCTTTCCCCGTTTCCCTTTTCATGAATTTGTTTAATTATTGCCTTATGATGTGCCGTGGAGTATCTTTGGTGTTTTAACACCATGTTTCTGTTTTTTAGTTGTTGAAACTCTTTTTACTATTTATTAGAAAGAAGAGTATTTTTTTGTAGGATGTTTGCTTCTTTTTTTTCCCTCTTTTTTTTGGGGGGAAAAATTGGAGTAGCAATTGATTGGTTATATATCCTTTTAAAGTTTGATTTATGATGTTTTGGGAAACTTGGGATGTTATTTATTAATAGTGACAGTATTTTGGACGTTAGAGATATGATGCATTTTTTGAATGAGCTATATAAGGTGGGTGCCATGAATGATATGGTTATTGTATACTATGCACTATAGGTATGAATCAGTTCAAGCCAATATTCTTGGGGACGGTTGATCCAAACACTCCCTTGAGCAAACTAAAGCGAGCTTGCAACACCCAGAAGTGCATACGTGCGGGTGGGAAACACAATGACCTGGATGACGTTGGCAAGGACACCTACCACCACACCTTTTTTGAAATGCTTGGCAATTGGTCATTTGGAGACTATTTCAAGAAGGAAGCCATCTCATGGGCTTGGGAACTTCTTACCAAGGTCTTTTCTATTTACCTTACTCCCTACCACCCCCGCGAACCAACTGAGTTTGAATTAGGAATTTTTTTTTAAGTTCAGCCTGTTTATTGCGCATTTGCTTGGCTCTGCAGGTTTATGGGCTTCCTAGTGACCGGATCTATGCAACTTATTTTGGAGGGGATGCTAATTCTGGCCTTCCTGCTGATACTGAAGCAAAGGATCTGTGGCTCGAGTTTCTACCGAAAGAACGTGTCCTACCTTTTGGGTCTAAAGTAAGTTGTCTTCTGTTTGTGAAAACTACAATGTTTTTATTATTATTGTTGAACAAATGTCTGGGATCATTGTTTTAAGTAGCATAAATAGCTACACTTCTGGGTAGGACTGTCTGATGAACGGGATTTCAACTGTTATCTTACTTTATCAGGACAACTTTTGGGAAATGGGTGATACTGGACCATGTGGACCATGCACGGAGATACACTTCGATAGGATTGGGAATCGTGATGCATCATCCATGGTTAATAATGATGATCCTACTTGTATTGAGATTTGGAACCTTGTGTTTATCCAGGTACTTATCTTTTTATGTTCCTTTTTTTTAGTTGAAAATGAAGATTGAATAGTTTCTTTGATGATACTTGCCGTAATGCCATGTGCACACACTCAGCAGGTGTTACCCGTAAGCAGTTAATTCTTAAAGCGTCTAACTATTTAGTCCTTGTTTTGTAGTTCAATAGGGAAAGCGATGGCTCTTTGAAACCATTGCCTGCCAAACATGTTGATACTGGAATGGGTTTTGAGAGATTAACATCCATTCTCCAGAAAAAGATGAGCAATTATGATACTGATGTTTTCTTACCGATATTTGATGCCATTCAGAAGGTATGTGCTTCTGGTATAAGGTAGTCCTTTTTGAGCCATATAATTTAATTTCTTAGGTCAATGCAATATGTTAATGATAAGCAACTGCAAGTTTGGCTCCCAAATTGGAATTAAGTGTTTTATTTTTTTCCATTGCTCTTCTTTTTTTTGTTCTTTTTTTTTGGGGGGGTGTTAGTGTGAATTAGAATAGGTATTGTTCCTCATATTGTGTTTTAGTGCTGAGGGGTTGCAATTATTGATAATATAATCTGTGAAACGGAATAAAAATAATCATTTGTTCTTGTGGAGCAGGCCACTGGAGCTAGACCATACTCTGGTAAAGTTGGAGCTGATGATGCTGATAATATTGATATGGCATACAGGGTTGTTGCTGACCACATTCGAACTCTTTCGTTCGCCATTGCTGATGGCTCTTGCCCAGGTAAAGCCGTTAAGCTGAAGAATCTGGATTCCTTATTTTTTGGCTTCTTAAAACTGTAATTAAGTAACTTCTGGGTTTGACTCTTTTGTTTCTCCCGCTGTATATTGGAATATCTATTTTGTTTTTCACTCATCTCAGATTTCATTTTCTTAAATTTTAGTTTACTTACTTATTGTTACGGGCTTTTTAGGTAATGAGGGCCGTGAGTATGTTCTGAGGCGGATCCTTCGACGGGCAGTTCGCTATGGCACCGAAGTTCTGAAAGCTAAACAAGGATTTTTCAGTGGGTAAGAGTGATAATCTTCAGTGACATTTTTTATTTCTGATGTCATGCTTCAACTGTAGAACATTTTTTTTCCGAACATGCGGGGGGTGAGTAGAAAGGAAATCACTTTGATTCACGATCACAGATACACCTGTTTAAAAGAATTCATGTTCAATAAAGAAAAAACAAAAACTAATTGTAAAACCTCCTTACAACTCCTATTTAAGGAGAAACCCTACATGTAGGTTGCAATTTCTAATAGAATTCTTCTGACGAAAACACGAAAAATGTAGAAAACATTATAATATTAAAACTTTCCTGAAATTATGATTTCTCTAATCTAATACTTTTAAAGCCTGAACTTATTTTTGTCCGGCATCATCTTTAGTCTTTAATGTTCCTTCCCACTTTTGCATTTCGAGTGGTCTGTGCTTAATCTGGTTCTGTATGAATGTTTGTGCTGAATTTCAGTCTGGTGAAGGTGGTTGTTGAAGTAATGGGTGATGTCTTCCCAGAGCTGCGGGAGCATGAAGTACGCATAAGCAATGTGATTGCTGCGGAAGAAGATAGTTTTGGGAAGACCTTGCTTCACGTAAGCTTTATTTCTATTGAATGTACATAGAAATTCTCCATGTTTCTGTATGATGTTGTCGAAACTGTTGACTGCTTACCTTGAAGAAAAGAACACCTCTGTATTTAAACTGCCATTTTATCCTTGAGCCAGGAGAGGCTCCCAAAATTTGTTTGGACCAGATTTGTTAATGTCTCAGAATTCCATTCAAGTAATGAGGTTTTATTGTTTGTATTTTGGCTAAGAAACTACTGATTTATTACCAAAGAAAAGAAAAAAGAAGAATCTACTGACTTCTGGATAGTACAAATCATGTAGTTTCATTTGGAAATGCTGATTGTTACTTTCTTATGGATGTAGTAACATTTCTTTTTTTCTTCTTTTAAAAGCTTTATTTTTTCTGCCTTTAGGGTATAATTGAGAACTAATATTTGCTGCATGCAGGGCATTGAGAAGTTCAAGAAGGCTGCTCAAGATGTTGAAGGAAATATATTTAGTGGAAAGGCAAGCACCACTCTCTATTGGCTAGTAAGAGGGTTTGAAATTTGACGAAATTTGTTACCTGACCTTTTACTTTTCTTCGCTGGTGGCAGGACGCTTTTGTGCTGTGGGATACGTATGGGTTTCCGTTGGATCTTACTCAGGTGAATTGAATCTGTTTTGTCTGTTAACATGTTTGAGGCTTCCATTCTTTCCCTCTTACAATCAGAACTTTCTTTTGGTTTCTTTAGTTAATGGCTGAGGAAAGAGGGTTGGTTGTTGATGTTAATGGTTATGATAAGGCAATGGAGGAAGCTAGGGAAAGATCAAGAAATGTTCAGAATAAGGTATTGTTTTCAATCGTATTATTTGTTGCATCTGGAGTCAGAACTACCCTCTTTAGAGCCTTTAATTACAATAAAACCTTTACTGGTGTACAAATTAAAAACCTGATTTGGAAATTAATATCTGACTTTTTTCCCATTGTCCATTTGGATTCTGATGTGTTTTTAAACAGCAAGATGGTATTGGTATCGCGCTGGATGCTGATGGTACATCACATTTGCGCAAGACTGGAATTGAAGCAACAAACGATTCATTCAAGTTTACATGGTTTAAGGTTTGTTTCCAGGGTCAACAAAGATGTTTCAGTTCGACTTTTACTATGCAAGGTACAAAAACATCTCATATTTTGGAATTGGTCTAATATCTCAGGATCATGAAAGTGTGATCAAAGCTATTTGTCGAGGGCAGCAGTTCTTTCAAAGTGCTTCCGGTGACAATGAAGTTGGTATCATTCTCGAATCTACAAGTTTTTATGCGGAGCAAGGTGGTCAGGTATGGTTTCTTCCTAGTAAGTTAGCTACTTGAGTGCCCTTACAGCTTCATAGTTCAAAAAATGAATTGTTTTTCTTTCTTTTTTTTTTTCCTCTTAGGCAGAATATGTGCATAGTTTGTCGCTAAGATTGGGAACGCCTGTACTTTTAAATGCTTGACTCTATTAAATAATGTTATTTGATAATTGTGGATTTGTACTTGGATATACTTTAGATCATTCAGTACGTGGGCTTGACTTTGCTGTTTTAATAGGCTCTGAATTAACCTTGGGGCTGTCTCATAGAGTTATTTGATTGATCACAAAAGATGGGTGAATAACTTCCGCTTCTGGTTCATCTTAGTTGTGGAATACTGAGTTGTAGTGGGATATGCTTTTAAATCGTATTTGATGTGTTATGAACTGGTATTTCCTGTTTTTGCTATTTTTAAACTTGTTTGACATATACTTTCCTTTGATTACAGATATATGACACTGGATTACTTGAAGGACCCTCAGGAGGGTTCCAAGTTAAAGATGTTCAAGTTTTTGGAGGTTATGTTGTTCATATTGGCAATTTCTGTGATAAGACTGGTAGGTTTGCCGTGGGTGATAGGGTAATTTGTAAGGCAAGTCTTCCATTTTCCCCATCTTTTGTGGCTTGCATGTGCAATTTTTTTTCACCTTAATTTCTGCATCTAACTTCAATCCCATCAATGGTAAATTGAGCAGGTTGACTACGATAGGCGCTCCCGTATTGCGCCCAATCATACTTGTACCCATATGTTGAATTTTGCTCTCCGGGTATATATTCTTTGTTGAAAAGTATTTATTTTCTCGGTTTCTCTTTTTTTAAATCCTTTTCTACAGACATTTAATCATATGCTAAATGTGTGCAGGAAGTTCTCGGTACCCATGTTGATCAAAAAGGTTCTATTGTCCTTCCTGAAAAATTGAGATTTGACTTTTCTCACGGTGAGTTAGTCACTTCTGGGGGAACATGTCCAGGTAGAATATAATTTTGTTGCTAACATTGATTCCGTGCATTAAATTCTCAAAACAGGCAAGCCGGTGACCCCTGAAGAGCTTCAAAAAATTGAATCTATTGTGAATGAACAAATTAAAGCCGAACTGGGTGTATTCTCAAAAGAGGCAGAGCTATCTCAGGCAAAGCGTGTCAATGGTCTTCGTGCTGTTTTTGGAGAAGTAAGTTTTTCTCCTCATGTCACCCGCCCGGGGTGGGGTGGGTTGTGAATTAACACAAGGATAATGGTTCGTGACAATTCTTATCTGTTCTTTACTGCTTTATAGGTTTATCCTGACCCAGTCAGGATCGTTGCAATTGGCCAAAGTGTGGATGATTTGCTTGCTGATCCAAAGAATGAAAAGTGGTTATCAATATCTGCCGAGCTCTGTGGAGGTGGGTACACTTTACTGTTTTAGGAAAACTCATAATACATGTGGAAATCGTCACACTTGCTTTCTTTGTACAGGTACCCATATTACAAACACACGGGAGGCAAAGGCATTTGCTTTATTGTCTGAAGAGGGAATTGCCAAGGGAATTCGTAGAATAACTGCTGTCACCACCGATTCTGCTTTTGAGGCTGTGAAAACAGCTTCCTTAATCGAGGAGGAAGTGGATGAAGCAGGAAATACTGATGGAAGCTTACTGGAGCAGGTTGATTTAGCATGCATATTTATCTAAAGTTCATTCCCTTTCAGACCACTTTTAATTTCCACTTAAAATTTATTTCTTATTTTGTTGCCTGGACTATCTCTTTTGTTGGATATGGACACACGTTTGTCATAGTAGAATAATCTTGAGACTTGTGCAGTATCTGATGCAGCACCAAACGTGGTGGTTAAGAAAATCAGGATGTAGGTTAATTAAAAGAGTAGTATGCAGCGGAAAATCAATAGAAAACTGTAGAAGAACCCTATCAGTAGGTTCTTCCATATTTATGCCCAGGATTATCATGATCCAAGGAAGGAGCCAAAGTGTTTGGACTTTGGTTTAGTTAATCCTTTATTAAGCAGTAATTTAATTTAATTAGTTTATTTCAGTATTAATATTTAGGAAAGGGTATTTAGTATATTAGTTATGCTGCAGGATTTTCTTGGAATAAAAAGGAAATTAGGTGAGAATCCTAGTTGTCTTTGGTTTAGGTTAAGTTTTAGGCCTATAGATATGTACCTCGTTTGAGGGTTTTGGACAGTTATCAGATTAATAAAATTCCTGCGAGCTTTTGCTTTCAACAACAGTTGTGTGACTCAACTAAACCCTTGGTGTGACGCCTAGGATTCCTGCGGTGTGATGCCAAATGCCTGTGTGCTTGATTGAATCCTTAGGCTGGCGGAACTGTGCTTGTCTATTTTTTATTGGCTGGTGTTTGTAATGTTTACTTTGCAAAATGCAATCTGATACCTGGGCTATCTGATTTGAGATTCTATGTCTGCATCTATCTCATGTGAATAATAATAGTAACGCTTCTCAATATTTTTGTTGATGCCAGAAAGTTGCAAAATTGAATAGTCGTGTTGAAACTGCTTTCATTCCGACTGCCAAGAAGACTCATCTCAAGGCCAAACTTTCCATACTCCAGGTACCTGCCCTCTTCTATATAATTCTTGTTTGGCTTCTTGGTGATTTGGGGTCGGGAGGAAAATCAATAAAAACAGTAATGACTGTAAAATTATAATTCATAAATAACTGATGTTTTCTGCAACCAGAACCAAGTCATCAAAGCCAAAAAGAAAACTGCGGAAGAGAATATCCAGACCGCTGTTAAAGTTGCCTTAGAAAAGGCAGAAATTGCATCAACTGATGGGAAGCCCTATTGCATTGTTCATGTCAATGTTGGTGCTGATACTGCTGCAGTTCGTGAAGCAGTTGTCAAAGTGACAGAGCAGAAGGTAATTTAAATTTTGCTGTGCTAGCTTATTATTGTTATTATTATTGTTGTTGTTATTACTATATGCAAGATAACTATCTGATCATTGTACACCTCCTCAGGGTTTGGCGATTATGGTTATGAGCAAAGATGAAAGTGCAAACAAGGTTGTGGTGTGTGCGGGAGTACCTGACAAAAGTACTCAGTTCAAGCATTTCAATATCAAGGAGTGGTTAGCTGCGGTTTTGAATCCGTTGAACGGAAAAGGAGGTGGCAAAGGTTGTCTTGTTCAAGGCCAGGTAAGAGTCAAGTTATGCTTTTCTCAGCTTGTTTTCGAGGGATGGGGGGAATATTATTGATGATCTGTTGTTGTGGTTTTTTGACTTGCTGTTTTTCTTGGTTTAGGGATCTGGCATAGCAAAGGTCGATGAAGCTATGGACATTGCTGCTTCTTTTGCTGCGCTGAAGTTGCATTGAGAGTGATGATGGTGCAGTATCCTAAAATACACTCACAGACACTAAAATTTCAGTGTGAAAACCATGGAGACTTTTCATATATTTCCTACATAATCCATAGTGTGAAACTGGACTCTTTGGCCGTCCAATGCAATCTATTTTATTGACTAGGGAAAATCAGAAGGAAAGTGAAAAAAACAAAAGAGGAAAAAAGAAAAGAAGAAAAAAAGTATCGTCTCTTTTTCTAAGTTCATTATTATTCCTTTTAACTATACTAGTTTTACTCTCGCATGTTGTGTGGAATTTTGAATATTCTGGTTCAAAATTTTAATTATTATATTCTGTCGATTTTTGTTTTTGTTTTTTTTGCTTTTTTTTTTTGTTAAGTATGTGTAGAAATAACCAAATAGGCGCTGATTATGATTTTGAATCAAGGAAATAATTGAGAATTAATTATAGTAGCCAGATCAATTTCAATTATGAAGATTGTTATATTTATTTTGTTGGAGCATTTATGCTAAAATTAACAATAGACGAAATTTGTTTTAATGATTTAACTAATTAATAATTTCTACGTTTTACTTAACGATCAATTATGAATGTCTCGAGTCAATTGAGTCGTGTCATTTTTATCAATTGTCTTTTACACAATTTACCGTAATATGTATGGGATATGATTTGTGTGTCATTTCATTTATTTTCTTGTATGCGATTTGATTTGTGTCATTTGATCATTTCTCATTTAATATGTACGGGATTTGATTTGTGGTTTTGGTTGTATGGATTGCCTAAATTCAAATCGATTGACCACGTTATGAACCTACCAATCACCAAATTGCGTCATCTCCAAATGTTTTACTAACAAAAACTAGATGTATGCCCGTGCGATGCACGGCTAAAGAAGGAATTAATATTTTATTATTATAAGAAAATAGAATAATGTGTAAATGGTAGTATAGTAAAACTTTTCTAAATTAATAGCCTTGGGTCCCTAAAAATTTATTTATTTATCGATAAATTAATAATTTATTAATTTAAAGAATTTTTTCAATTAATCCTAGTAGTAAATTACTTTCGGTATTGCAAAATTCGTTCAATAGATGAGGGACTAACAATATATTTCAATAAAACTGTTTTTTAAGAAGAAATTTGTGAACTTGAAAAAAATATCAATGATCTCGTTTATCATGACAAAATGGATGTTGATCGCTTGTTGCATTACCTAGGAGAAAATGATGAATTTATGGAAATAAAAAATTTTGTGGATATTATAGCTAGTGTCACATAAAATTCAACGTAACTTAAGATGAAGCTGAAGATGATTTGGTTCCTTTGAAACTCATATCCAGAAATTAAGCTCTAAAGATAGCAACAACTCTTTATAACTTTTTGTTGTAGCATTAAAAAGCGAAAGCGGAACTTTTGAATGTAATGAAAAAGATAAAAAATAATATCTCCATAAAAATAAATTTTAAGAAAAAACAAAGACCGAAATAAATTCATATTTTACTAGAAATTATTAGTTTTTGTTTAGGTAATTATTAATTTATGAAAATGTGGAGACCTACATTTACATAGAGGATTCTTGAAAATTTATTATATTATAAATTAATCGAATTTTTTCATTTTTTTGTACTGGTCCCGAGTTGGGACCGGCAAAAATTATTATTTAATGGAGGTTATAAATTTATAGAAAATTAAGAGGTTTTACTGTATAATAGTATAAATATCAATGAACAATTTTATCTTCAGACAAATTTGTACCATTCATCTTTTTGTAATTGTACTAAAATTTTTCATGAATTATATTGATGATAGAGATATAATCACACAGATGAAGATGATTATAACAAATGTATACGAACAATAATTTTTACAATACATTGTTAAGAACACAAAATATTATATTATTAAACAATAATGCAATACACTAAAAATATTACATTTTACTCCTTTTTTCACAAAATTTTATTAGTAAAATAAATATATATTCAAATTGAAATTAAAATCTTTGAAAAATATCATATGGATAGTTCAACATAATTTGCCTCCATAAATGGTTTACTCAATTTCTTAAACTTTTTTTCTTCACAGGATTGAATAAGAAATATTGATTGATTCCTTCCCCTAAAATGATAAAATCACCATTAATAGATGACTTGGAAACTAAAAAAATGGGTCTTTACCAAAGATCTAGTAAAGGATGTGAGAACGAACCACTATCTTTCGCGGAAACACGAACTTCCAAGTCGGTCTTATACGTTTTACTCCACTCCCATTCACCATAAACATTTGTTGTCCAAATCCATAGATGAAACTTTCCTAACCAGCAAATTAACTGTTCATTTGTTAGACAAAAGGTACCCTGCAGATTCAAAATATTATGTGCATAATTTTCCAAAATTTCGATCCTGGTTGAAACCTTTGAAGATTACCTTTAAGTCACATGTAAATTTTAATCGTTCTAAACTGAGTTTACCGTTCTAGGATTCCCCTAGTATGGATGCGCAAGTACTTAGTTAATCAGACTACGCTCAAGGTTAATTTACACACTATAACTAGGCACACTTAAATTGTTCGAATGCAAATCTAAAGTATTTTCACATAGAAAGAGGGATTTAACCCCAACAAAAGACTTAATTACTCAGAATCTGTATTTTAAACACAAATACATGTAGAACTTATCATAAAACATAATTACAAGGCAAGAGAGAGCAAACAGAGAGCTAAAGATATAAGTTTTTGCAGAACAGTAGCCCATTCAAGTGAGTTGGAATGTCACTCACATGAGTGTCTGTTTCTGTGAAACTCTCTAAGAAGATCTGTTGCAGAACTCTCTTCTAACTCTCTACTCAGCTAAACCCTAAATTCTCTACACTAAACTATGCTTCCTTTCCGCCTCCTTTCCAAATGGTCATCTCTTCTTATTTTATAGGCAGCAGCAGCTGATATGCTTATATTTTACCTATTTATTATATCCTTAATTTGTCATTTTTGCAATATATTTTGAGTACAAATGTGCTATTTATGTGATTTTATCTTTAATTGTAGGAATTATACTCAAAAGGAGGAATTGTTGAAATTGTGGGCTAAAATGAAGATAAAAACAACTTAAAGGGGAGAATTGAAGATTTGATAAATTGACAAAGAAGAAATTGAAGCACTTGAAGAGTTGGAGGATTAAACAAGCAATTTTAGAATGTTTTTTTGGTTTATGGAAATTGGCCGAAACAAGGACTTGCGGTTGATTTGGGATTGGAATTGGGTAAGAATTTTAATCCCAATATTATTTGGGAAACAAGTTTTCTTCCTCTCCAAGAAGTAGAGTTTGACGTAAGCCTATAAAAGGAGGATTAGGGATTTCTTTTTACAACCGAACTTGACCGAAAAAAAACCCTACGTCCTCCGCCGATCTCCTTCTCGCCGCTGCATCTTCTTTACCTCCCCACCTCCATCTCCACGCCTTACCTCTGCCTCACCACCGCCGAGACCACACCTCCATCACCTCTTTCTCCCCACTCCCATCATCACCCATGCACCACCTCCTCGCTGCTACGACCTCCACCTCTGACCACCGAAGCAGCTTCACCACCCTGCTTCTTTGTCGATCATCCACGCATCATCATCCCAGCAGCCACCGCAGCTCCATCCTTCCTGGTCACGCAGTCACAACTGAAGCAGCTCGCACCACCTTGCTTCCTCCTTTACTTCGCACACACGCAGCACCACCTTAATCACCATCATCACCTTTTGTCATCAACACCATCAACCACGGAGAGCCGAGCCTTGAATTGAATTGATTTCTAGCTTTCGGTTTCGGCACGGCGGACTCTTCCGGGTTTCCTATTTCAGTTTTATTTTTAATTTCAGAATTTTGGATCATGAATATTATTATTATTGCATCATCAATTTTAATAATGTTTAGAGGCTAAAATTATATAACCTAGGGCTTGGATGTAGCCTCCGATATTTGGTTTATTTGGTTCATTATTATTTGATTTTTTCATTGATCAATATTTAATATTCTTGCTTTTATTCCATGTTTGTAACTGGCCACTACTTGCATGTTTAAAGATATTAATTGATGGAACGACAATTGAAAATTAATATTAGTTCATGGGAATATTGGACTTAGGTAGTGAACTACGACAGTAGGAACACAACCTTTGCAACGTTAGATTCTTAAGTTCTTAATGTGCTCTAGTTATTTCCTATAGTCACGACATTAGTCATATGATTAATTCGAGTAAGAGAATTATATCACGACGGTGAATAGTTCTTAATTAGGTGAATCATTGTGAGATTAATGTAAGTTAAAAGTCAGATATTTATGAATTGAATCAAACCAAATATTTGGTAGGTGAAGCCAATGTCCTAGGTTTTGTTTGTCTGATTATTTGAATTAATATTATTTGTTTTTATTTTATTTATTTTAGTTTTAAATTTTATAAATATGAGATCATCATTTATCTAGATAATAATAGGAGTAATTTATACCTGGTAATTAGTATTCCTTCTCTGTGGGATCGACCCTGCTTGCTACTTTACTACTATTAATTATATTAAATAGGTAATTATTGTTTGACTAGTGTGACGACGGCTTGTCAAATTTGGCGCTGTTGCCGGGGAAGGCAGCTAATATCGAATTTAAATTACTTTCTTTTATTAGTTTAGATTTGTTTTTTTTTTTAATTTTATTTTCTTGCTATTTTAGTTATTTCTTTTAAATATTTTTGTCTTGTTTTTATATGCGAAGTGCTAATTCTGAGACTTTGCAATTTGATCCAGAGATAGAAAGAACAGCTTGTGTGAACAGAAAAGAAGCAAAACTAAGAAAGGAGAAGAATCAGAGTGAAACCATGGGCGATAGAGTAAACACTCGGACACTGAGGGATTACTTCACACCTACGGAGAATGTTGTTAGGTCAAGTATTACTAGGCCTACTATTGTTGCGAATACCTTTGAGCTCAAGCCAACATTGATCCAGATGGTGCAGCATAATCAATTCTCCGGTTTTAACAATGAGGATCCAAATGCGCATATTGACAACTTTTTAGAGATCTGTGATACTGTTAAGATAAATGGTGTGACGTCAGATGCAATCCGGCTGAGACTTTTCCCTTTTTCATTGAGGGGAGAAGCGAAGAATTGGTTCAATACTTGGATTCCTGGTTCCATCACAACTTGAGATGAGCTTTATAAGGAGTTCCTGATCAATTTCTTCCCACCAGATAAGGTAGCGAAATTGAGAAATCAAATTACTGGGTTTATTCAAGAAGATGATGAGCCATTTCATGCTGCATGGACAAGATTTAAGGAATTGCAAAAAAGATATCCTCACCATGGTATTGAGAAAAGTACTCTAGTTCAGACTTTCTATCAAGGATTGACAAACTTTGCAAGAAACAATGAGGATGCTGCAGCTGGAGGTTCATTAATGGATAAGTCAACTGATGATGCCTATGACTTGTTTCAAACTATGGCAAAGAATAGGAATCAATGGTTGAACTCGAGAAGTGTTTCCAAGAAGCCTGCTGGAATGTTTAAAGTCAATGAACTAAGTGCCATGAACGCAAAGATAGATGC